AGCTTATACCTACATCGGATTCAGATTTAATCAGATTGTGGTATGTCTAAACGATAAATATTCGATTAAATTTTAAGTAATTCAAATAAAGTGTAATGTCAGATTTTGTTATTGCAAATGATTTTATTCAGTTTGATGATACCCTCATGAGCAGTATTTTTTCTACGATTTTACCTATATTCTGATTGAGGAAGTTAATGTCTTAAAATTGTAGTATTTTTCATTAGTTCGCAACCTGGAATACTGTTTTCAGATTTGGTCTCTAAAACATAGACTCTGAGCCCTCTTCGGCAAATACGAGAACGGATAAGTGAAACAGGATACGTGTAATCAACTGAATTTATTTTTCTAGATATCAAACTATGGACATGTTTTGAGATGGGGGTCGGTATGGTACACCTAAAAGGCAATTTCGCGAAAATTATAGTCTCTATGGCACAAGGGAGAAATGCAACTAGAAACGGTATCATTTGCTGCTAAACACGGGCTATCTGAAGACTTTATTTATATTGAAACATGATCTAGTGTCGCATTTCAGTCACGTGATAAATATAAATAAGCCAATTCATAGTGTCAAAACACAGTCCTTCAAAACTGAGGGATTGTGCCCAGTGGTCAAAACACTCTATCCGATCATGGATTATTACCTCCATGATCCGATATATGGAAATACATAAATTAGATTACATCCAAGGCCTGGTACAAAAATGAAATGACCGACATATTGCCTACTATGACATATTGCCTACTATGACATATTGCCTACTATGACATATTGCCTACTATGACATATTGCCTACTATGACATATTGCCTACTATGACATATTGCCTACTATGACATATTGCCTACTATGACATATTGCCTACTATGACATATTGCCTACTATGACATATTGCCTACTATGACATATTGCTTACTATGACATATTGCCTACTATGACATATTGCCTACTATGACATATTGCCTACTATGACATATTGCCTACTATGACATATTGCTTACTATGACATATTGCTTACTATGACATATTGCCTACTATGACATATTGCCTACTATGACATATTGCCTACTATGACATATTGCCTACTATGACATATTGCCTACTATGGTATATATATTTATACAACCGCTACTTGAATAAAATACGGGTCTAGGTATTCAATACTTCCAAATAGTACATTGTGTCAATTTGTATGACTATAATAATGGTAAAAACGGTTACCATGTTTTGAACAGAATAATTTAATGGTTTACAGAGAACAATCTACTAGTATTAAATATTAACTACGTGTCGCCGACCCTGTGCTCGTGGTTGTAACATTGCCAATAAAGGTAATATGGATCTTGTTCTGACCTCAACATGGTTTCTTCTGTACGGGCCAAGTTAAGGATGACTAGTCGATCGAGAATCGTCTTTGTGCTGGGAGCCGTTATCTTAATTTCCCTGTATGTCTATCATATCAATATTATACATACGTATAGGCCACCAGACATTTCTGAAATCAGGGTGAGCGACGAACTAGTAACCATTGCCAAGGCCATAAAACAAAAACATGGATTCGTTGTACTTCAGTTCTTGAATTCGGGTTTTTTAACTTTAACGAAGAATTGGATTTGCAATGTTGAATGTTTCAGTATTTTACCAAAAACGATATTTATAACAACTGACGTCGATGCGTACCGTGGACTGGCGGAGTGGAAAGACGATCTCAATGTAATTTTGCTTGAATACGGAACTAAACACGAGATGACATACGGTGAGGTTATTTATTACTATTTTGGGTTATTTCGTGTCAAAATCATGAACCAACTCTTGCAAAGGAATTTCAGCATTTTTGAAACAGAAGCCGACGCTACCTGGTTCGACGACCCACTTGAATATTTCGCCCAGTCGAGTGTGGACATGGTTGTAATGCAGAATAAAGGTAAACATTGCCAACACTGCATGGTCAATGGAGGGTTTCTCTATATTAACGCTACGCACACAAGTCAGCGAATGTGGAACGAACTTACACGTCAACTTACTGAAAAAATGAAGGGTTACCGAAACCAAGAAGGATGGCGAAATATCGGGATGGCAGGCTCGGAACAAGTGTTTCTGAGTGATATTATCGAGACAGAGAAATCAGCTAACATACAGTGGCTACCGGTTGAGAGATTCGTCAGTGGATTATGGTACACAAATAAGGAGATACGGTCACATACACAGCCGATTGTCATTTTGAATAATCACGTTTTAGGAAATGCTCAGAAAATAGAACGTGCCAAACTATGGGGTCATTGGTCGCTTTCTGCCGATAATATTCGTTGCAGACACGATAACTGCCACAAAGACATAGTCAAAATCTAAATTATTGTGTTCATGGCATGAAGAACTTATCATAACGGTGAACCGAATACCGTAAATTAAGCAAAGAATCCTTTTATACAGTACATGCAGTATCCAGTTATACAATACTAGTACACGCACTTCGTAGTGAATGGGGATATAGTTTCTTTGAACCACTTTGCATTGATAAAATAAGGGAACAAAGCAATGAAACTATGTACATGTATTACGATATTGTTAAATTGCTTCGTCGCTAACGGGCGTTCTTTGTACGTAATAATAATAATCTGTACTGTACAAAGCAATAAAAACAGTTTGTACAGCTTAGTTAATAAGATAAAAGTAATACCTGTAGTAAATGAAAGTACCTAGTAATGAATTTATACCGAATTTTCATTTCTGACTTAAAAAGATCTGTAAATATACTTTCCTAATTTAATTATCTATTTCTTTAGTGAGTTAAATATTTTCCTTCATGTCGTCTTGGTAATTGTTATAGAGATGACAATCCATGAAGAATACAATTCATCTTCAGTTTTATTATGAGGACAGTTTATGCAAGTTCTATTTTCAATTTACATAAAGTGACTCTTTCTTTGAAGGGAATGTGACTTGAACAGACTACACGCCTTCAATGCCATGCTTAGTACACACAATGTGGAATATTCTGAAAATTGGTATAAAATGATTAAATGACTAATTTGCATATTTGAATTATTTTTAATTTCATTAATATATTATGTTAGCTGACCATCATTCCTATCCTTATACAAGGGCTGTGTATTCTGGGTAATTTGTACAGGCATGAACTTATATCACTTTACAAAAAAGAAACAAGAAAAAACAACAGATTTTGAAAAAAATAAAAATCGTTTGAGAAGAATAGCTAGGGACGTCTTGACATTCTAATGTGACTTCAGTTATCAGAAATACCTTGCTGTTTTTTTGTTTTTTTATTGTGCCAAATTATTTACAAGATTTACATTTCAGGTAGGTATCGTTAATAGATAGAGGGCGCCATAACAAGAAAATCACTGACAAGCCCAGCTGATGATGGACTGAATGAGAAGTAATTATTGAAATTTTTGGCTAATTTTATCAATGCCAATTTCAACATTTGTTCCCACAACTGACAAGTCAATCACACAAAGTCCCTTGAGTTAAGCTTAAAAGTGAAAGTTTGAGACATTAACGTTGATCCAGGGAGATGGATAGGAACATAGTATTGGTATGTGTGTGTGTATATATATATATATATATGGTCTTCATACCAAGTTTGATTAAAATTGGCCCAGTCATCTCAGAAAACCGGTTTTAAAGTTTTAGGATTTGAGGACTTAATCACCAAAATGGTCACCAGTCATTTTCAATCATAACACATAACATTCATGGGGGCCTTTTTTCTTGTAGGTTGAAGTTGAGTAACTAGTATCCAGAAAACTGAATTTCATCTTAACAGTAAACATAAATACAGGTTACAGTAAAATGATTGACATGCAACAGAATCTTTTATTCCATACATAGGGGGCCCATACATATACATGCATCAATCATGTAATACAGTGGAGAGAACAAAACAATGTATTTATAAAACTAATATTTATACATGAAATCTGTGCAGTAAAACTATAGAATAGAATACACCGTATTAGATAAACCATTCACAGAGTATAGAATGGTACCGTATTCAACCATGCGATCTAAGAATTTTAAATCATTTCATAATTTAGTTGGAATCTTTGGTTGTACTGACTTGTAATCAATCGCATGACATTGATAAAACAATTCAGAGGAAATCAGAAATCAGTGTAACTGTTACAACGTTGCCCATTGAGAATCCAGATTACAGAAAGTTATGGATGGATATAAACTAATTATGTAATTTAGGCCAAAACATCATAACTGCATGTACTGTATTAATTTCAACATCCCTTATAGAATAATACAACATAAATTGTATAAAGGTTTCTAAAAAATAATAGTACAGCAACAAATCTAAGCAAAATTTGGCAAGAAAAATACTAGCTGTGTTCATTAAATAATACAATATGTACTGCATTTATCTCAATGTTCCTTATAGCATAATACAACATGAATTGTATAACAATTCTTAAATAATAGTGCAGTAATATAACACATATGTAAACGAAATAAAATACTAGCCAGATTTTAACAAGGTAGGGAAAGTACACTGTACTGTACTGTCACTCTTTTTAGTATACACGTAAACAACATATCTGTTATCTAACAGATCTTGAAGAGCATATTACTAACTTCTGGTACTCAATATAAATAAATGTCTTCATTCTGTTCATGTTTTATTTCATCCAAATTTTATCCTATATCTTAAAAACTGCACTTGCTAGTTGCACCAAAATTGAACGTGCTTGATATTCCATATTGATGACAGTCCCTCTAAAAAGATGCCCAGATCAGATAAAAAATTGTTAGAAGTTTCAACAAAATTTAAGCAATATCTTGCAAAATTATACATACAACAGACACAAAAATCGAACTTGGCTAAGATCCAAAACTGTTTGAGTTATTGCAACCCAAATTTTAAGATGACAATGAGGATGGACATTTTCCCTGTCATATACCTTGACCTTCATCTAAGAAAATACAGACAAGGACAAAATTAACATCACTTAAAATGTGAAGATGTACTGTAACTCAGCATTCGAACATTTAGCCAAACCTCCAATATAAAGTATTTAAAAGATAGGAGGTGTGCAACAGTGATGAATAGCTCATGAGATTTTTTGATCTCATCAATTCCACTGACATCACAGAATGCAGTTGACACTTGGAAAGTTCAAATTACATAAACAGAAATGAGTGAGACTCTCACTCCATTCAAATAATGCATAACACAATGATATACACTTTTTCAAATAAGTCACCAGTTCAGTTCAGTTCAGTTCAGTTCAGACTCGCTCATTTGCATTAGAATTTCCAGAAACACATGTTTGGCATGTGATTTTGTGATCATCTTGCAATTTGTGAGACTTCTTTAATTTGCACAAGCTCCTTATCGCATATCACACTTCATCTTATATGTATCTAGACAATGCGCAAAATTAAGCCATTCCAAATGAAAACCATAAGAACTACCTGAGAAGAGGATCTAGACAGACTGACTAGGTGTTTTGTCCCAGTGATGGGGGAATACAAACAACACCACAAAGCTTATCATCACATATAACACTCATATCATCTTTGTGTTTATATCTCAACTTTTCTAATTCACTTTGTAGCTTATTTTGGAGTTCAGACAATTCATGTATTGCAATGTTAATGTCCTTAACAGATGTATCATCATGACACAACTGTTTATTTTGTGTTTTCTTGTATACATAGACAGGAGGTGGTTTCAATGTGTATTTAAATCTGCATGCATCTTTGCTTGTATGACAGAGTGTGTCAATTACTTCCTGTTCAATTTCTTTCAATATGTAATCAACTCGTTGTTTCTTAGTCACACTTTTAATCTAAAAGAAAATGGAAAACAATTGTATTAACTTAGATGAAAATACATGTACATAATATGTAGATTAGTAAACCAGTGTTGTACACTGACTGCAATTTCTATCTCAATCTTCTGAGTTTGTCATGTTTTTGTATTCTCAGCAAGATGACCACAACCTATACTAATACTATTTATTTTACTAAATAGAATTCAGTTCTATAAATTTTCTGGATATATATAATTAATTGCATTTTGGTACAGTATGAATGAATTTTACATACTTTGAGAAACATTTTCTACACAAAATAATATCCTGTATATTATCATCTGCAAGTAATGAAACACCTACCTTTTTTTTGCACCAATTATCAACATCAGTAATATTCCCACCAACTTTTGTAAGAAGTACTCCGAGATCTGCATGTAAATTCATCAGTGGACATGCTATTTTTGTTGGCCTGGTAACATTCATTGGAACACTAAAAGGTTCAGTTTCATCATCACTGTTTTGATTCTTGGCATCAAGTACACTTTCCTACAAAATATAAACCTATGGTCATGTACAAAGAATTCAAAACAATTTCATTAATGTAAGACCCATACAATAATCTTGTGCCAGAAAAAACAGTGACTGTGAGTTTTTTACCATGCATCAATTTGTTAAATAACACTGTCAGGTTTTACAAATAATAGATATCTTACCATCCACTGCCAGAAAATCGATTCATTTTCTTTCCATTTCAGCAAGGCATGCATAGTAGTATTCTGGGTTTCAAGTGATACACAGCACTTAAAGTGTGAATAAACAAAAATAAATAAGTCTTACATCAATGCATGGCAGTGTGTTATTCAGAAAGTATGTACTGGTAATACAACAGACTAAATTTAATAGGTAGATGAATGGATGAATAATGTAGTATGTACTAGTACGATAAGTTGGTTGTATTGGTTTGAAAAAGTACAATATTTTTAACAGATTTTATTTTATTCTTGTCAAATATCAGAAAAATAAATTTCAAGTAAAACTAATTAGAATTAACAAAAATACTAAAAAATAGAATTTCAGTTAGTTCAATACATTACTGTTCTATATTAACAAAAAGGAAGATTCAAGCATTATGCAAATTACTCAATTAGGAATTGACTATGCAATCAACACCATACCTTGTCAAGCAGTTTTGGGTGTCTTAAGAGCTGGGTCTCAGACGTAGATAAATGAGTAGAGTAATTAGACAATGACAGTCCTTGCGTAAAATCATGTACATGGTGTGACATACTACACTTCTCCATTTCAGCAGAGTACAATCCTCTCATAGATAGCTGCAGTCTACCACTCAACCATGGCAAGTAGTGGGCAAACCATTGATAATTTCCCTTATCAGCTCTAGTATATCTATCCGGAATACTGTCCATACATGATCCGCCTAGTTCACAGTTATCAGTTACAAGTGTTGAACAACAATGAGATGTCAATTTATCTATGATGTGGTATTTGCCAACTAACCATCCAAATGCAAGTAAAAGTTCACGGCTTCCATTAAGCATATGCATAGTAAGACTGAAGAATTGACTGGACCTGTATCCATGACTATACATCCAGTGCTTCACGATAACTATTATGTCTTTCTTAGTCTGGTTTTCTACATATTTTACATCTTGGAATTGTCCATATTGTAGGAAGTACAGCAATTCATAGAGTAGTACCCAAAATGGCATCACCTGTAAAACATACCCAATAATAAAAATAAACAACGTGGAGGTCACAGTGCAGACAACTGCATTTATCGGTATATGGAATAAATTGTACAATATTAAATTGGCTCACCTGACAGTACATTTTAGCAATAGAAACACAAAAAAGCTCAAAATTTCTTTATTATTTCATTATTATACTTTGTTATACTTTTATTGCTACTGTACTGATAGAAATACTGTATTTCTAATGCAATAAATATTATTATTATTATTATAAATTGAAAAAACAAAATTAATCTAGAGTCATCAAGAATAAAAAGATAAATAATTATAATTTTTATATATCATGAATTAAAATATATATAAAAAATATTTAACATGATAGAATTACATTCCATAAATTATCATTACGTTTTGAATAAAACAAAAAATTGCGTCAAGACTATCCTGGAGACTTTCATCCCAATAAACTATGTATACCTAAAAGGCAATTGTATGACAATGTTATGTTACATGATGAATTGTTGCTTGGGACAAAAACAGTTAGATACTGGAAAATGCGCTAAATTAAAAACCCAGTGAATATGTAAAATTTAGCATAGAACACATTATCTAAATGATAAAACCGTGAATTTAAAACCCACTGAATATGCCTGAAATGGTAAATCAGCGAAATTTAAACCCACTGAAATTTAGTCATTTTACAGTAATATCCAGAACTGATAAAGAGTGAGTCTGTATGCAAAAACAATCCAGGAGTAGTGTCCTGTGATTGTATTGGTCCATTGCTTTGTAAGTGAAATGAATGAATATATTTTAAAAGTATACCCTGTTGCATTTCATGTTTGAGAAAATTATCTAAACAACTTTTTATCTAATGATTACCCATCAATGCAAGCAAAGGTGGAAAAACTGCCGAGATGCCCCAGTTCACCATTCTACAATTGTTAGGGTTAGGGTTATTCTACGACAGTTAGAATGCCATTGCTAGTTTGACAATGTGCAGTGGTATTCACACTGTTTTCTATTCTTTAATATACCGTATATATTTTGTCTTGTCAAATGATATAAAATGACGACGACTCTTTCTCACAGTATATTTAATCAAAGACAAACATATCGGATGGAATATTTACCAGCAACATGTCACTTGTCAGAGTTGTGAGACGAGCAGCAACTATGATATTGGTCTGAATGTTGTTTAAATGAGGTGCATGGAACAAAAACTTTGCAGACTGGGGCATGTCAAGGTGGTAGCGCTAATGCACTCCAGCACTGCATGAGCTCATGCTATGTGTAAATGTAGTTTGAATTTATAAATATTTAGATTCCAAAATACCGGTTTGATTACTTTTAAAATAGAACATGAATTGACTTACTGTATATTGCTCATTTTTTTTATTATTATTATTTCATCTATTTATTTTTTCAATATATATACCTACATATATCTATATTTTTTTTTGTTTTTTTTTAAACCATGTCGTGCTTTAGATAGTATTTTTTGTAAAATTTGTATGTTTTATATATGTATTTTAGCAGTTAGTGTAACCATTTTAATTCCTTCTGAGGAATTTTGAATGTTTCAATAAACTAAACTGCAGGGACTTTGATCTCTAACTATAGATACCTGAAAGATAGTATAAAAATGACATCATCGTAAATTATCAACTGATGCTTGGTTTAGAAAGGGTACATTTTTAATATTAATATATTATAACAGAGGTACATTACTTGGGGTTTGCAACGGCCATAGTAATGTACCTCTGATTATAATAATAATTTATTATAGTTTATTATCACCCAAAAGAAAATTTATTTGTGTTGGATATATTAATACGTAGGAATAATATTATATTTACCATATAAAAAGTTAGTATGTTTGATCTGTTAAATAAGAAAACTCACCGCTTCTTGCTTATCAAACTTAGCCTGTCTGAAGCACTCTGGGGTAATTTTCGTCGTCCCACAAAGCGTGATTGAACGACAGAGCAATTCGATACTTTCCCGGAGAAGTGACATTATTATCAACGATTTCTATTCAAGTGACATTTCTAGTGGTATGCACATAGATAGGTGATTTTCAATACTGCACTGCAATGACCAATCAATATTTTGACAATTTGGCGAGTATTCACACAATTTGTCGAATTACTACACTATCATGTTTAGACGTGCCTATGAAATGTGTGGTACTGTAGGTCAAATCTCGCGGGAGATAGCGCCACCAGACGACGGGATTCCTATTCCTGTTAATCCTGGTACGGCGCGAAGCCCCATGGGAGAAGGTCTTACATTTAGATTCATCAGTTGGAAGGTCGTATTTTGTTAAAACGCACGTATGCTGGCTCGTCCCGCCCGTCAACACAGAAGGCCGTGACTTTCTTAGCGTAACCAGGTTGTGACTGAAGACCTGGTAGTTTCAAAAAAATAAATAAACAGAAACGTCTCATATTGACATTTAGTATTTCATTGGAATGAGAGATCCAATATGATATTAAGTATCTAAAGTCTCCCGCCCAATTCTGACGTCCTTGACTCTTTAGTTCCCAGCCTTGAACACTAATAGTACTTATATAATGACATACAATAGCGTGTACGTTTTTGCAGGGAACATATTTTGATGACAACAAAATGCGTTTCTTTCTATCGCGTGTTAACGGATATACTCACAGTGTTAACCTACCCTATGAATAATATTGTAACCCAAGTACTGCTTATGTGTCTAACCATCCATGGTCTAACCCAGAAGTCGGCAGGTTCAACACATAAGATCACGAGTAGAAACACGGTTAATGTAACTTCTATCTGATTATGACATTTGTATGTTATCGAGTAACTGTATAAGGTATGTACTTTGGGCATATATATGTAAAATAATATACATCGTCATAACATATTTGTTTTGCTGAAGCTTAAACCGAGATCGTTCACATACTTATTGCATAGTGACATTGCAGACATTGCACAGTGACATTCAAAACCTCTATGTTAGAATGTGGGTTAAACGTTGATGGAACTTGCATGGCCTTGGGTAAAAATAGATCAGAAAAAGAACGACGTTATTGAGATTTTTTTGGGTCCATGTGTCCAGTACCTGGAAATATGCATTATTTTCTTTTGTCTATAGTACCTCGGTCTGTTGCGCCCTGTTGCGCTGAAGGGGCGTTTGGAGATTGTGAGACGTGCCATGGTTGATTGATTCTCTTATGCGAACTACATTCTAGCCAGAATATTGCCTTTATTCGGAGCACATGCTTAAAAGCAGATCATCCAGTTAGTTTGTTTTTTAGACAAATGATAATTTACTGTATAATTTGCATTACACTTCACTGTTAACATGTATGACATTACGATACACTGTTAGCATGTATGACATTAGTTAATATATACTAGTATGTCATTACGATGCACTGTGAACATGTATGATATTATGATACACACCTAACATGCATGACATTACGATACACTGTTAACATATATGACATTATAGTAAACTGTTAACATATATGGCGTTATGGTACACTGTTAACATGTATGACATTATGATACACAGTTAACATGTATGACATTACAATGTACTGTTAGCATATATGACATTATGGTACACTGTTAACATGCATGGCATTATAGTTCACATTTAACATGTGTGACATTACGATACGTTGTTAACATGTATGACATTATGGTACACTGTTAACATGTATGATATTACGATACACTGTTAGCATGTATGACATTATGGTACACTGTTAACATGTATGACATTATCATACACTGTTATCATGTATGACATTACGATACACTGTTAACATGCAATGACATTACGTTGTACTGTTAGCATATATGGCATTATGGTATAAATTTAACATGTATGACATTATGGTACACTGTTAACATGTATGACATTGTGGTACACTGTTAACATGTATGACAATATGGTAAGCTGTTAACATGTATGACATGACAGTACACTGTTAACATGTATAACATATGGTAAACTGTTAACATGTATGGCATTGTGTACACTGTTAACATGTATGGCATTATGATACACTGATAACATGTATGACATTATGGTACACTGTTAACATGTATGGCATTGTGTACACC